ACACAATACAGACATTAAGACCAAGGTAAGGATGATCGTTCATAATTCATATAAGAGTTAATTCATTTAAATTAAAGGGAGGGGGCATTTAGCAAATGAATCCAGACCAACGTTACATACGTATTGCTATAAATCGACCATTGTAAATAAATTCATGCCTCCGGAAAATGATTAGAGTTTCTAGTTTCTAGAGCAGAAGTTTAGTTAAACTAAACTTCTGCTCTGAAGCAATAAATTGAGAGAAAATGCAAGGACAGGAAGCGCTAATATCCGACTTATGAATAAAAATTTGGAATGGTCAAAGTGTTTTCGCAGATAAAATGTTGATGAAAAAACATCATTTCCTGGTAACAACGATAACGGAAAAAACTTTGTAATAAAAAACTCAAATTTGAAAAGTACAAAATCAATGTAAATTCTGTTTAAATGTATGTTTGAGATAACCTTTTTGGGTATTTTATTCGGAAAAATTTACAAAAGGTTCAATTTTAGGACACAAGTGTCAAAAAATCTTCCAAGATTTACTGCATGCTGTTTTTTAACTTTATTTATTTTTAAATTTAACTATGAAAAATTCTTAAAGAATTCAAGGCTCTTCACTTAAATGACTTTTACACACAAATTTTACAATGCGTAAAGAATTCAGAAAGACGCAGAGAAGGCTCTCTTAAACTTAATTATGGAAGTGTTTCAAATAATTGTTTAGTATTGCTTTTTAAGGGTCGTTTTTACCAGAGCTACGGATTTTAGTTTCTTACCCCGTCTAGTTTGTCCATTCTTCACCCCCAAAAAATTCAGCACCAAGAGACTCCAAATCCGTTCAACGAAAGTCTGGGTTCATCCCTCGACGACCAGCCACAAACTGGAAAAGCTCCCCCGGAGGCTCTCGAAGTAACAGCCCTTCGTTCGGGTTTCGAATTCGGAGACTATAAAGTGAGTGGAAGCGGCGAACGACAAGACAATGGGAGATTAAGCGGCAGATAAACACGGAATAAAGAGGACAGGCTCATAAAGAAACCGATAAAATACAGTATCGAATCCGCGGAGGGATTTGATACGAAGAGAGAAGTGGCGCGGCGTGCTTCGCGAAATATCGATTGATCTTCCGTTTAAACCTATGGAAAAGGATCGATAGACGTGTTATTCACAACGAACATCGAAATCGATTCTTTGCCATAGCTTCAAATGGGAAAATATCGATAATCGATCATTCAAGCCACGCCACTGCGAGAGCAGAGTGGCAGCTCACTCGAATTAATGACCGCAGATCGGCGGAAAAATTTCTCCGACGAAAGTTTTCGAACGGGCCTCCGTGGCGCACAATGCCCATTGTTGCCTGTTGGGCGCAGTTAAATAACACACATTCTTTCGAGGGAAGATTTATTAACAATACGAGTCTAAAACCCTGGAATTTATAACTATCCAACACTGGAAAAAAAAAAAAAAAATGGATCTAGAGCCCGAGATCCAAGTTAGTAGAAAACATTGACAAGAAAAAAGACTCTTGATTCAATCGTATTTTTGCTTGAATCAAAACGAAATCCGCTTAAATTAAGGGGCTTGGTTCTTGATTTAAGCTGGATTCTGATTGAATCAAGAGTACTTTTACTTGTCAATGTTTTTAAGAGTCTGGACTCTAGATCCAATGTGTGTTTTTTTTTTTTTTCCATGCAGTGAACGGTGAAACTTCCAAATTGCGTGTCACAATTTGCGACGTAGCAGACCCCTTATTGTCATACTCATTTTCTTTCTTAAAAAACACTCAAAGGCAATTCTTAAAAACTGCCATGAAATTATTTTCCACAACAAGCACCTGAGTGGAAACTTCAAGAAATGATGTTAATATGCTTTTCCTTGAAAAATGAAATAGTAGCGGAGATTTTGAAACATCGCAAACGATGCGCGCAGTTTGGAAGTTTCACCGTCGTATTGCTGCGCAGAGGAAGTACACTCAATGTATACCTCAATAGACATACAAATATTCGTGCTTGATGGATGATCGTGTTGCATCTCCAAAATTGAAGGCGCGATAGCATCAGGCGTAAACTCGAAATGCTTTGTTCTTTGCTGTCAATGCTGTGTCGCTTACATCCGGGAAAAAAGTTAAAAAACAAAGCCGGATTACATATCTTCTATCTTCAGCTGTATTGCTCACATATTTCTTGAAGCATCCCTACGAATAAGACAAACGGAACCAATATAACATGGAAACTAGGCGAGGCAAAGGAAGCGCGTTGATAACGGCGCGGAGATACAACTATTCGTACTTGATGGATGTTTGTGTTGCATCTGCAAAATTGAAGGCGCGAGGCGTGAATTCGCCAAGCTCTACTCTTAATGAAGAAAGATAATAAATTATTGTGTCTACCTGCTTGTGTGTCCAAGTAAGTTCCTACTTTTGGACTTATCTGTCTGCTGGACATTACTGATATTTGGCCTTTATAGATTTTTGGGCATTCAGGGTTTGGACATTTTGACTTTTGGACATTTTTTTTGGACATGTTGACTTATCATCGGTCGCGGCAACAGAAGACCCGAGACTCTCCGCGTGAGCCCGCCGCAATTTGGCAGGCGCGCAAATGCTTCTCAAGCTAAACTATCCGAGATAATTTATGTCTTGATTTTCTACTGTGCTCCGCATAGACTGGTACAAAATGATGACAATCCCGCTCCCGCTAACCGCTTAACGACCCCCGCCCCCGAAAGTGCGTTCCTTTTATTTTTCCGCACCGCCATCCCTTCCGCACCCCTTCATTTTACCCCTCCCCAACGGTAAAGTTGGTACTTTAAAAACTCTCTAGCCCACCTTGCGGTCGTTTATCCGGCATTAATCATATTTTCCGCTCGATCGCCAAATTGAACACTAAAACCAAAAATTTCTCCCCCAATTAGTCTAATTTTGTTGAGAAGACCTTGGCTTTCGGAAGAAAATTTTTCAGAGGACCAATTTTTCTCGAGTTAGATTGAGAAATTCTATACCCAACTATTCGACGGGAAACAGAAATCAAAGAGAAAAAATGTCCGAGGGGATTTATTATATTTTGGACTGATGTAGAGTAAAAATTAATGACAAAAAACACAAAAAATCAGAGGGAAACAAGGCTACAATTAAATATTAATGTATACATCCGATCCTTTGAACCCAGTAGGATAAAACGTAACGTAACTCAGCGCTGAATGTTGTAATTGATAGACAAAGCGATAGCAAAAGGAGATAAATAGAAAAATAAGGGATTCTTTCAGTGTATGTGGGTGTTTGCAATTGACAAAGGGAACCTTAAGGGGAACCCACAAGGGATTCTTTAGTTAGTCCATCATTTTCTCCCTTAATCTATAACAATCACCCTTTTCAACCAACAGATCGCTCGTTTTTCATGTCGTCTCCTTTGTCTATCGCTTCGTCTATCAATTTTAACAATCAGCCTGTTGATTAATTTTCTGGCAGCAGCCTGACCTTCATTTTTCAGGATGGTCCTGGGTCTTTTACGTTCAAAGCGGAGTTTTGCTGTGTCTCTCCTGGAACATTTTGGCAAATTGACTTCTGTAAGATACATTTTGAGCTCCACGCAATCTTAAACTATGCGCAAACCAATGGTCCAACTCTACCCATAGTACTTCCAAAACGTCTCAAACTTTGTAAATTTTCTGCAGCATATCATGAAAAATAAATGGAAGAATATATCGGAAAATGGGGGAAAATGGAAATGCAAGGGTCCTCAGGCTATTTTTCACGGTGCATCTGCTAATATCATTTTACTAAGAATGGTGGGGGGACGGGGGGGGGGGCAGACTCACTCTGGTTCTTTAAGGGCAATACCGAATACCCCCATGTGAACATGGCAGATGTAACATTTTGTCTCGAAACCATGCTTTTATCCCTGCAAGTTTCCAACTCTTACGACTGAGGGTTGATTCAATGATTTTGAAAGTCTAGATTCTAAAATGTTCGTGATCACCCCTTAATTTGCATTCATAGCGGTATCAGTAATTTCAACCAGATTTTCTCGGTGCTATTTCCCAAGAGTGGTCACATTCCGTTACTCCATTGACATAAAGACTTAACTGCATTTCAAAATGAGCCAAATCGACCGCATGATTTTGAGCTTTCTAGGGATTGCAAGAAGATACGGTTACGCCCTTAAATTATAGAAGTGGCGATTTATGGAATTTTCACCCGATTTTTCCCCTACCTGGCAACCTGGGTTTCTTCCAGAATTGCCGCACCGGGTAGTGCCACTCAAAACCTTTACTCCGGCTCATATGGAAAAATTGGAGGTATCCCTGGATTTTGTCAACGTGGCATTCCTCTTTCAACTTTTGCGTTTGTTTCCTTGACAAATGGGGTCGATTATATAATTAACCGTTTAGTTTATTCCTAACTGTCCTCCCTGCCTCTTCCATCCTTTGTTGATTCGGCTTTTGCGGGAACGGAGACTCGATCGTTTGGCTTTTATCACGTCTTCCGGTTTTTGCATTATACATTACTGTTAACTTTTGTAAACGAATTTTACGCACACAATCCGGCCAAGTCGCGCATCTTTAAACATTGGAACTCGTTTGTGTATGTCGATTAATGCCGAATCAGATCGTCTGAATAAAGTTTTTCTTTTCATGCTACCGCTCATAATTTCTGAAAAAAATCATCAAAACATGTTTTCTTAATCTCTTATTAAATTTTTACACGTATCAAAATTAGTACGCTGGAAAAACTAAAAACTTGTGAAACGCTAAATGCAATAAAAATAAACGGCATTAAAGAAAAACTCAATCTTCAATGAGAATGACGAAACATAGATAGCGTTTTGAATTTATCATAGGTCAAAATGTTGGCTCCAATACCGACTTCTACTTTTCATTTTTGACGGGCGTTGCTGAGTGATTTCATTTTTTAGACAACCGCGGTGACTTCAGAAATATCGCACCCCCCCCCCCCCAAGGGACTTAGTATTAGTGGCTGTTTTTTTTCTAAAACCAAGAAGTTTTCCTGTAACTGAAAATAATGGTAACAAGCTTTGACAAAGCTTTTTGGTGTGGAACCGGCAAGTTAGCGGTTGTGTAACTTAAGTTTTGCACAAGTTTTTCACGTTGTGTCGATTCCCCCATTATTTTTATTGCAATGGCCAGAGGTTCCAACGCGATGGCACGTGGTGGTCCGAGGGTGAGTGTAAATTTCAAATTTTCAAAATTACTTTGATGCAATCTGAAATTACCGGATGTAAAAAGTGGAGAGGGAACAAGCCCAAATCAGAAGACCTCTAATCATAGACTAACGATTGTCTTAAATCGTTCCGATGAAATGCATTGAATTATATTTCTCATGATTGCTTTCATGTCATCCAGACATTCGGTTTTTATGCTTGAACAAATTGTACTTACCTTTTATTTCATTTGCTGCTTTACGAGTCCATATGTGACATCCCACGGACATAGAGACCTTAGATACTATGAGAGCATTTTCAGAGGAACGATTTTTGTCGAATTTGATCGAAACTTTGGCATTCAAGCCACATGTGTTTCTCTTAGTGCAAGTTCAAAGCAGCTTCTTAATTTTTTCATCAGTTCGTTTACAGTGTTCATATTAATTTCGTGCAATTTTATTTTTTAAGTCCAAACATGCAGGTAAGAAGAGACCTCACAATTCTGCGACCGCAATCTTCCTCTACGATTATCATACGATCCAAACTTCAAATACTTCTGCTCTGTTCAGGTCGACTTTTGCTGTGTTTTTAATACTGGAATAATCGTAAATTGATCCTCCATGGGATATCAATATCTCAATTTGATTTTTGTGACAACGAGGGTCCGTCTAGTACAGACCTTTGTAAATTTGTAATTTTTGTCAGCAGCAAGTATCTGAAATTTTTGTAATATTAACGTTGTTATGATGCTATTGTTCTAGGTTCATTGTTCTTTTATTGTGAGTAATTGTACTGGGTAGTGAATGGGCGGGGGGCTCTCTACATGTGTCATACTTCCAATTATGGGTCCCTCTTGTGCGAATGTTTGAAAATAAAAATAAATAAATAAAAATTAAGAATTATTCCAAGTGACTATTGAATGCAGGTAAAATTAATTTCAGTCGTATTTCATCGTCGCGTTTTCAACGAGGAATTAAAAATGGGAGCGTTGCAGAAAAACGGTATTTCGAGAAACGCTACAACGCAAAACGAGTGGCCGGAACTGTAAAAACGAATCTTGATTCCGGATAAACGTTGGTTCGAGAAACGTCAACACGAAATACGACTATATGTATGTTAAGGCGTGCTTTGCACAACGATGATGACTACTTTTGATTTTGCAGGGCGGAAGAGGAGGCCGAAGAGGGATGACCAAGAAAGGAGGTCAAATCCAACTTCAAGTTGAGCTGAACACAGACGACGAATGGACAAAATTCATAGATCGCGAGGGCCTGATTGGTAAAATAATTTTAATTCAAAACCCAAGTCTTTCTCGGAAAAAAATCAGATAAATTTCCTCAACTTTGAAAATCAGTTTAAAAGTGATATCAATTCCAAATGCAAACGTAAACACGTGAGCATGCATGCTATTTTTCCTTTTCGAAAAATAGTAGAACCAAGAAGTCATTCAGCAAATAAGAGGCATAGACGGATCCTTAAGTCGTAGGGGGCGTGTGCCGCTCCCTTAAAAAAAAAGAGAAATGAAAAGAGAAGGAAAAGAAAGAAAATAAAAACAGAAAAATAAAAGGGAAGAAAGAGAGAAGGTAGGGACGGAGAAAAGAAGAAGAAAGGACGCCTATATTTAGTAATTCTTCATGACGAAATAGACTCAAACTGCATATTAGGCCTTTTAAAATTTCAAAAATTTTCAGGGGATCGAACCTTGCGGACCTCCTTTCCGCTCCCCGTCCCCCTCCGACGCCCCGTTTGAAACATCTGGATCCACCCATGAAAAGAGGTCCTTTCATTAGTTGTTCTGAAGTATTTCCTGCAACATAAAGCAGTATAAGTTTTTTTTGTCAAATTAAAATGTGCTCTTTGAAAACCCTGCATCTATTTTTCTGTCAAGAGCGGAATAAGTTTAGAGATTCTGGTTATATGTTTTTGTGCTTCGTGTTCCAGTGGTGGACGTTTTCAGCGAATGGTGTGGACCATGCATAGGAATGGTTGGCAACCTGAAAAAATTGAAACTGGAACTTGGAAGTGACCATTTACACTACGCTGTCGTAAGAAATTCCTATGTTTATATTGAATTTTCATAATTTTTGCCCACCACATTCTATTGGAATAGTATTCCGGTATTACATACTATTGAGGACCGTGGTAAACCAACTTTGATTATTTTGTAAATGATTACAAAAATAAACATTTGGACTTGACTGTGTCAAATAAAGTGTAACAGATTGAGTAGCCTAGTGTTTGGGCGAGCAACTAAAGTAACCTTTTACCATCAAAATTCAAAGGCAAATCGTATATGAAGATTACTATCATATTGTTCTTTAATGTCTGTCTTATTCGCTACATTTTTACTTACAGTGATTCGTTGTGGGATCACTGAACTTCAATTTTAAAGAAGAATTCAAAACAAAATTTCTGTTGAGATTGCTATTTATCATTTTTCAGGCGAAAGCTGAGGGTATCACGGTTTTAAATAGATTTAAAGACCGCAGTGAACCAACATGGATGCTTGTTGCGGTTAGTATTTGGTCGGAGATAATTTTATTTTCTATAATTGTTAATTTCAATTCCTCTGTAGCATCTCATTCTTCACCTTTTTTATCTGCTAAATCTGTTTGAGCCCACAATATTACTTATCAAACAATCGTATTTAGTTAATAGTCAAAACGCTTAATACGAGATATACTTTTATTATCAATAATCTTGATGGCCATGCAAAAAATGAACTTCTGATTGACGGTGCTCGACAAGAAATTCAATCCATAACTCTTCATTTCTTATTTCAATCAAAACCTTTCCGAATTTAATTTTTTGCTGACAGCCAAACAGTCACGGGTACCACCCTCTTCACTGATCTTTGATGTTGAAGTTACAGTTTTATGATTGAATAGGTCTGCGCAGTTACCATTAAATAAGTAAAATGAAGTAAGAACTCAAAGTTTTCAGGTGACCTGTAGGTTACAGCGTAGAAAAAGTACCGGTTTCAGGACATTTTGCCAACGATTTTTTGTCCGCGCACCTTTTTTGTCCAGTAGTTTACGCTCACACGTAAAATAAACAACAGTGACTTGGTCCAAGAACCTGCAAAAATGAATAAAAGAGGGAAAAAAACCGAGAAGCACGCAATCTTTAGTTTTAACTCATTTGTACATCGATCTTTTAGAGTCAAATACGTCAAATTTTGAGCGTTTCGTTGCACGTACACCTCGCTGCAGCACAATAAAAGCACAAAATGTAAAAGAAAAAATTAAAGTGCTTTGGAAATCATTAAATTTGACACGGAACCACCAATATTTAAAAAAAACACACATTTTATTATTATTCTCCTTTGATAAATTAATACATATTTTTCTCCATCAATTTAAATAAGAATAATCAATGCAGAGTGTGCTAAATTTCAAAATCATAAGTTAAAAAACGCTGACTATGCGAGTTTAAATATTAAAGCCGAACAGAGCGGAGCGGCGTGCTGCTAGCGCGAGAGGCTCACTAGTGCCTACAAACCTAAGTGGATACTTCACGCATTGCACAATGCTTGAAGTATCCAAGGCATCCTTTAAAAGTACAGATCTTTCCTCGCAAAATAAATCAAGATACTTATCGTGCACAAGAAAAATCTAAGAGCCTTCAGCTGAGGCAATTATATAGGTTTATCCGGTTCGGTTATAACAAGGTGGGAATTTCTTGAAAGATAGTTAAGTCCTGTTACACCAAAGAGGTGTAGAGAGTTTTTGTGAATTTTGTCTCATGGAATTGACGCTCCCCCATTTTTACCAAAACTCTCAACTATATATTACTTTCCGTTGGACCAAACAGACAAAACAAAAAAACTAGCAAACCTTCAACAAACAACTTCTTCCAAGACATTATATATTTTCATCCGAAAACGTTGCGAGCAATTGTCGTTTGTATTTGCATGTGAACCAAATAAATTTGGGTCTCAACTGGCACGTGGACCAAAACTCCCGTGCCGAAAAAACTCGTGGACGTAAATTACTGGAAAAAACATGTGCACGGACAAAAAATCGTTGACGAAATGTCCTATAACCAAAATACCGTTGTTAAATCGGAAAGTCACTTTATGCCTCGATTAAGCGAATGCGTCTGCGGCAATATCACGAAAATAGATTACCTTTTCTCAAAATTAGCATTTTTTGATGTCATAGGGAGGAAGACTGATCAAAATCATGATGGGAACCGACGCTCCACGATTAATGAGACTCATACAGCAAGAGCTCCATAAGGAGCTTAAAGTCATGGCTGGAGAGAGGGAACGAGAATCAGTAAGTTGTTCTCATTTCTGCAAAATTATTTGATATTCTGAAACGAATTAAGAATATTTTACAGTGCGCCTCCTTTGAAGTTAATAATCGAATAGCAAAGATACCCTAAAAATATCCCAATAACCAGATAATTTTCCAAATATCGACATCATATTTCACCTAAAAATGATTTATACGTTACATACTGATCAATCTGAAAAGCAAACAAGACCTGTGTAGTAACGAATCGACATTCCTCAGTTATCATTTATAGGCCTTCTCCACTCGAGCACGATTCACTGAACTCTGGGTGAACTAGTTCCAGGAACTCACTATAACTTCTTCGAATTTCCAATTCACGGAACTAATTCGTTCAAATAGCGCGTGTGTAGACAAGGCCTTAGCGAGGACACTTCTCAACAAGTTACTCGTCACCTGTGGCGTGGCGTGCTTTGCAATGTATCGATTGATGCCATTTAAACCTATGGAAGAAGATCCAGAAACAGGATGTTCGCAACGAATATCTTAAAGATCGATTTTTTACCATGGCTTCGAATTGGGAAATATCGATAATCGATCATTCACGCTTCGCCACTGCGCATCACAAGTCAATTATCGTTACGGGAAAATATTTTGATGATCCTCCATATGACCTTTCACCCCCATAGGAAATATACTTCAGCAACCCAGCACTGTATTCCTCCCTATGATGTAAAATTTACTTCCGGAAGTCACCGCTCTTCGTCCCCTCATTCCTCAGGAATTTAGGGTTGGAGTCCGGGTAAAATTGTTTCTACACGATGCGTACGCAGTTGCATTAGCAAAAAATGAAGGCGTGCCGGCATTTCTATACTGGTAGGTATATAAAAACATCTAAAATTTGGTTTCAAACTAAGCGGTGAGGAAACTCAAATTTTGTTTCTTGGTTTTGTTTTTTTTTCACTTTAATTTTAACAATTTCACCTTTAAAATACGGTTACCTGCAGGCTCTTCAAGTAATTTTAGAAATTTTAAATATCGATTTAATCGTGAAATGGAAAAAACTACTGCATCACTGAGTCAGGGTTTCAATCGATTCGATATTTCTCCTGCCAAAATGAATGCAACTCCTGCTTGGTCTAGTCATGGGTGATTCAAAAGGTGCGTCAACATTAAAAAGCTAGCCAACAAAAAAATCAGCCCACTCACGTTAGCCGTCAAAAAAGTCTGCCTCCTGACGGGCTGTACTTTTTATGGTTGTATTTCACTTAGTTGGGTGTAACCGCTTACTCACCAATTTGACACTTTTTCCTCGATTTTTGTGTTTTCGCAACAGCAGAAAAGTCAACTATTTTAGGAAGTGAATTATTTATTTCTCAGTTACTCGACAGCATTTTCCACAGGAGCCAATTTCAATGAATGTGAGCAAAATTAATTTCCATTCCGGGACCACTCATCCAAAGTCTCATTACCTATTGAATAAATAACCCAATACTCTTGATCCTCATTATATGTTAGTTAGTTAGTTTATAAACATTCAACATCCTAGGCTATTAACGTCTTTACAAATAATTTGGAAGATTTCATTTGCTTTGCCAAGAAGGAGTTTCCACCTATATGTATTTTTACACTACCAAAGGGAATTGTAGGTGAGGTGCGCTGCTATAACAACCATTTCATTATGGTATTGCTAGGAACAGCTGATGCCAGTTAAGTGTGATTTTATAGTTAACATGGAGTCAACACCTTGATGTGGGCGTTGAGTAAATATTCATAATTTAAAAGGTGGTAGGTTAAAACGTGTGAATGAATTCCTTATATGAAAATACAATTGGATGGTTAGTCCTGTGGCACCTTAATTTTTGATGCATTAACGTTCATTCTTTCACTTCTAAATATCAAACGAGGCTGACTATTATCGCTTTATTTCTGTTTGTGCTAAAAACAAAAATTAGACGTTAGTCAATTTCTAAGTTACTTTATTTGTAAAGAAAAGTTAATTTACACCTAGTAGGTGGTTGTAACATGTATTTGAAGAATAAAAAAAAAAAATTCTGTTTGTGATGTGACTGAACTTCAGTATTTTCCCGATTAGCTGGAAAGAGCCATCTCATGATAGATGCATGAGCGGATTGTGATCATACTGATTCCAATTCTTTTGACCAAACGTATTCAAATGAAAATCTGGATGTAATTGAAAGTAGATATCTGGTAGGCAAATATCATTATAAGCGCATCGATTTGAAATCGAGCCGATAAATTTAAATTAGCAGAATCTGTCTTTGTCGTAGATCAATTCCCGTTCACTAATTTTTTTTTCAATGTTGCCCTACATATAGCAAATATGGCTGATAATCATTTATGATTTCAGCTTGATTTCAGCGAAATAACTGAGGAGGAAAGGAAACAAATGGAATATGAGAAACGACTCCAGAGGGAACAAGAGGAGCAAGAGGCAAAAGAATTAGGTAAAAGAAGCAACTTTATCTTCATGCTCTCATTTATACGTAAAGTAAAACAAGTGTTCGAAAATTTCTTAAAACAAGAGACGCAACCCATGAGTTATTCCGAAAATTTCCATTAAGGTTTCTTCAGACTGAATGCGAGAAGACATCTCATGAATGTTTAATGAAGGATTCAGAGATCCCCTCAGTTATTACCTAGATGCGCAATGATTTTCGATACAAATATTTTAACTCTGGTGCGGCTGGTGAAGTATCCCGCGAAATTGAATTCCCTGCGTTTTTGACCAATGAGAAGATGACAGTCACACGTACACAGTGTAAGGAGCGAAACTTGCAAGAAAAAAAATATAGAAGTAGTAAGGTATTGTAGTAGTGAATCCCTGATCCCGTTTTTTTTTTATTGAAGGAGATCAACCAAAGATTTTGCTTGAAGTTTTTACCTAAAATATTCCTCTCATATGCAGGGGCAATCATCAGAGAAGTTTCCAAGAAATGACTTAAACTATTTTTCCGTGTAAAGGACAAAGTTTTAGAAGAGGTCTGCAACACCTGTAACCGAGATACACATTCTTTCAGTTCCACCGACGATTTGCCTAAGAAAAATCATGCTTTCCGTAGATTAAAATTTGTTGATTTTTCTATATTTAAATAAAATGTTAAGGTGAATCCATAGGGTTCGATTAGAGATAGCGCCACCAGTCACCACTGAGAATTTCATTTTCCTTCGACGATTACTGAAATATTATTGTTCAAATTACAAAAAGGAGATCCACAAGATATAGATTATTTTTTGTTTGATTTTTTGAGCCAAAAATATTGGCAATTAGAATTACAAGCGCAGAGAAAGTACGGCTGAAACTTTCAGCTCAGCGGCGGCGGCCCAGCGCGCAACCGAATACCTTATGTTCTGTCTCTCTCACTCCCATTGCTGCAATGGGAATTACTTTTCACCGTAGTTACAACTTTATTTTTGGGAATTTTGAGAAGATTTTTTTACTGAGTGTTCCTCAAGTATGTTGCTTTATCTCTTGGATCCCCAATCTTGAATATGTATTACGATTTTTATTATTTTGGCAAATATATGCGGCTATTCTGAGCAGCGCGACGTGGTGGCAAAATCGCGAAGTTCCAAGCCTGGATTCACCTGAAGACAAGTTTTGCAATGTCATAGACTGGAATATATTTTTTTCTAATTTCACAACTAAGCGATACATTTTTTTATATTTTTAAATCAGTGGGCTGATTCCTCACCCTTGAGGCGTAGGTTAATATATTTGTGTTAGTATAAGAGTACTCATTGTTATCAAGTCAATATCCATCTCACCGAAAAAGGCATCTTCATTCTACAAAAATAATGTAAAATATTAATGGACACTATTATTTACTTTTCATTATCCAGCGGAGAAGATTCGAAAAGCCAAATTACGGTCACTGAAACGTCTGGCCCAGAAACTGACCTCAAACTCTGTGATAATTTTCTTCCCAACTGTTTACTCTGAAAGTCTTGGTTGTGAGCCTGCCTTGAAACTGCTACCACTCTATGAAGAAGCATCTCTGAGCGTCGTGGATCAGCTTCCTTTTCAAATCACCAAGGACAATCTTGATTTGGTAATTGTGTTTCAAATCTATTTCTGTCTGCAGTGTAACATTCGTAGTATGTGTGTATAAGCCGCTTTTACGGCGCGCTAGGGCGCTCTGCGACGCCTACTCTCCACAGGAATCTGTCATGGTAGAGATCTTCCAGAAGCTGGCATGTTTCCATCTCTTCACGGATGCCCTCTACCCACCGTTTGGCTGGACGCCCTCTCCGTCGCCTACCTGGAGGGACCCACTCCAACACCTTAGTAGTTCGTACACCTTACATTCGTAGTTTGTACTCAAAATGCGTAATGAACACATACACGTAGCTCAAGCAGTGTGCCAAATCATCGTGCTGAATTTTTTAGTGTAATTTTCCTAATTAATACACTATTACGTTCTTTTATTTAATGAAGTCTATGAATGAGTGATCAGCCTCTACTTAAACGCATAGACATAGACAAACACGCTTATTCTACAACGTTCACACGGTTTGAATGTCACGCCATATGAGGGTTTAAGGTGGTGAAATTGTGTATTCATTTTGATAAACTTATTGATAGGCACAGTAACATCACACTGTTATTCCAGTAAACCCATATTATTATTCCAATAAACGCGATGGTGTTTCTGCGCTCATTATGACAACTACCCAAAAGTGCATTCTATAACTGCCCTAATAATATTTACCAATAAAAGTGTTCTGTCACAAAAATTTAAAAAAAAGATAAAAAATGTGAACATTTAGGAGTTAGGAAGCCCCTTTTGTTCTTATTCCAGTAAAATTAATGTGAAATAGACATTTTCAAAAAGCCATGGACAAGAAGGTCTTCTAAATTGCGTTAGTTTCTAGAAATTAAGTATTCTGATGCACAACACACAACAAAGAACTGCATAGTTAAATGAAAATAACCAATAATATAATTGCTAAATTAAATATAATCATACTAAATCTATAATACATGTACATAGTGACATTTTTAAGTGCACAAGAAAAAAAAGGGATAGTTCCTAACTCGGATATTTTAATAGTTTTTCAAATTCAAGTTTAGTTTATTGCATACATTAGCCATTGTAAGTTAGGCTAGTTACGGTCACAATGGGTATAATTAAGATCAACAGATCAGTTTGTTAACAGACTAGATTGGTTATCAAAAATTTTCGTAGGTTTCATCAAATTATCTTAGGTATTAACAATTATCTCAGGTTTTGACAAACTAACAAAATATCTCTATCTGTAAGATTAAATGTGTGGAGTGATGGGATCGTCGATAAGAGTTCTCCTCTTCAAACTTTATAAGTTTTTTAACGTTTTTAGCAACTAATACTACGAGAGTTTGTTTTCGAGTATGCTAACTTGGGTTAAAATGAAACGAACTTCTTTAATACATCGTAAGTTAGGCCATAGGTACAGGTCACAATGGGTACAACGAAGATTGACAGATCAGTTTGTTAACAGATTATATTGGTTATCACAAATTTTCTTAGGTTTTATAAAATTTATCTCAGGTTTTGATAAATTAACAAAGTATCATTATCTACAAAGATTAAATGTGTGGAGTGGGAAATCGTCGATAAGAGGTCTCCTCTTCAAACTTTATGAGTTTCTAAACATTTTTAGCAACTAATACTACGAGAGATTTTTTTGGAATACGCTAACTTGGGTTTAAATCAAACGAACTCCTTTAATCCATCGTGTCGCATTTCACCTGCAAACTCTATAATTTTACATTATCCTCTAAATTATTTTCGAAAAACCACAGGTTTTCTACGAATCCGGACTGGAGCTAACGGACGCTTTTAAAAAGACTCTGACGTCATTGGAGTGCTATGTGACGTTACTACAGTATCAACCGGTCAACCCGGACCCTGAAGCCCCCCCTGAGAAGGAGGAACCCCTTGATTTGGGCGTCATAGAACAGAAAACGGTCATGGTTGCGACAGGCAACGGAGACTGCCTAAATCCAGCACCTAAGAGGTAACGACCGACGCACAGTGGATTGAGTCAATTAGAGAGGTGGGACATGAAATTTTTGACTAAAACCGCAAATTTTTATGTGTATTTCGTCACATTTTAAATTTCAAGGGGTGTTAATAAAAGAAAATGTTACGAGAAAACCAATGGAACCACTTTTTGAACCTTAAAATTTTGTATAAACGGAGTTATAGGTGTTTGAAGTTTCCAAATTTTGTCCGAGCTCTCCTGTAGACTCGACCCACTGTGCGACGAATGAATCAAGCAAATTTGATAAAGAATCCATTTTTCAAGAGAATTTAGTGACTTGTGGACTTATTATTGAAATTAATAGACAAAGCTACAGACAAAGAGAAAATAGAGCGATCTCATTGGTGGGAGCGGGTAGTTGTATAATGGGCAATCGACTTAGGACGACAACCCACTGGAGACTCTATAGTTTGTCCATAATTTTCCCCTCAGTCTATGAGGACTGCCCGGTTAAACCATTATAGGATCGCTTCTTTTCCCATTTTCCCTCTTCTTCTATTGCTTTGTCTATCAATTTAAAAATTCAGTCCCATGGTAGTGGTCGTTGCTAGCGTCACCTAATCAACTGCGATAATACTCACTGGGAAACATTTTCAAAACTGCGTTTTTACGGACACAGTAACGTAACAAATGTCGGGGCGAGCACTTGTTTTTGCGAGTTTTTAAATATTAGCTTGGGTTTGCAAAGCCAATTATGAACAACACTCTGGTCACGACCCATCTTTTGACGAATCTAAGCGTTGACTTCAGGAGATGACTTTTAAATTTTCGAATGGTAACAGTTTTGGGTCCCCAAAACATATTTTATTTGATCCTACAATGCGCTGCGGTGTGTGCATTAAACATCAAAAGCTATCCATCGTTTTAGTTCCTTCTACCAAGATAATGTGATAGTCAATAAGCGGCCATTGTGGCATCTGGGAAACTGTTCCTAGCGCCTTGATGCAACTATTTGTACTCGATAGATGTCCGTGTTGCATACCAGAAATATGAAAGCACTTTGATTTAACTTCCCCTGGCAATGAAAAATTTTTGATAAGGGAGAGGTCGTAATATAAAACCGTTTAAATAAATAAATAAAATATAATTCTGCAGCGAATGAGTTTATTAGTGTTTCCTCATGAATTTTTAGCTCAAATGCGAGCATTCCGCTTTCCAGTGCGCTTGTTCTGCTGGTTGCCTACTAGGGCACGCAAGGGCAGCCTTATCCATTTCCCGCCATACTTCTTCTGGTAATTTGCTACTTCACCTGGTGTCCATAGTTCCAAACGCCCGCCACGTTGTTTTAGGCCCCGACTCTGAAGTCGTTGCTGTTGCCTCGGCCTCGCCTTCCTGTCACGGATTCTCAGGCGTCGCGAAAATTGCGCAACAGCGCCCAGCGTCGTCCTCATTTCTTCCGATTTCGCGATTGCCTCCTTAGTTGCCGTATGCGCGTTATGTCTCATCTTTTTGACTTCCTTCAGGAACACCTGGACCTCCTTCTCCGACATTTCTTCGCCCCCGAGCGGCAGGTTCGTTTTCCACATGGAACCCCCGAGTTTTTGATAAGTCGTCTTCGGACTCACCTGGTCGCAGTCCGAGAGGACTGTTTCCCCGTTGACTCTAACCTCCCCTCTCGGTGTCCCTCGTTTCGGTGTCTTCTTCGTGAACGTGACCGTCAGAGGGGCATCTTTCGGACCGATCGCTACGACCTTTACCTTCCTGAACCTGAAATTGAGGAAATCGCCGTAAAACTTGACGAAGCGGTTTCTTGTGACACTGATTCCCCAGCCGTAGCAGCAGAGTTTGCCCTTGCCGGTGTCGGGCGAGGGATTGTCCAAGCCTCTTCTTTCCAACCGCGCATTTCCGGAAAGAGCTTCCGCCGGATCAGCTGCGGTCGCCTGCGGAGGACGGAGTTCGGGTGTCGGCGCCCAAGGCTCCGCATCGACTGTATCGATCTGTATCGACTGATCGAATGTAGACTTGTCTGCCTGATTTACGGCTGGATGTGCTTTTGCCCCGATCGCTGAGTAGATTACCTGGAAATTGGACCAAGTTTCAAGACGGAGCAGAGAAAAATGGAGAATTTTTAGCCTAAGGGGCTCTGAGAGGTTTTTTACGAATTTCCACCACCTTTCACTGAAAGAAATATTATTTTGTGTGTGTATGTATGTCGCACTAGGTGGTTTTAAATTTCCAGGAAAACGCCCATATTCGTAGTAAGGTTTTGCCTAACAACAAAACTGCACAAAAAAAATTTGAATACAATTTGGAAGAGCTTGGTGAAACTAGAGAAATTATTATTGAAAAAAAGGTTTTTCTTTTTGTTTTGTGTCGCACTAGGTAGTTTTAAATTTCCAAGGAAACGCCCAGATTCGTAGTAAGGTTTTGCCTAACAACAAAACTGCACAAGAAAAATTTGAATACAATTTGGAAGAGCTTGGTGAAACTAGAGAAAGTATTATTAAACGACCAATTTCCTGTGTTGTTTTGCTAAGAAATGATTTTTTTTTTCATTTGAAAAAAGTTTATTTGGTTTAAAGAAAATGTCTCGAACTTTATGAATTTAAAAGAAAGAGTCAAATGAGTTTTCTTTATTTTCAACTGTTTGATCTAAGGTAATGCTATTTTGTTACTCAAGACAAATGTTCCTTCTTTGAATTAAAAAAAAAAGACAATTCTTTACACTTATTAAAAAAAATTCATATCTCTTAAAATCATTAAGGGAACAAAATTACTAAAATGAACCAAGTTTTTTTTCTGACTGAATTACGGGTTCTCAACAATGTTTTCCAGTGTTCAAGGTCAATGCTGATAATCTTACTTTGAACAGCTCCTCCATTAAGGGATGGCTCATGCGGTGACACTATAATTTAGAGACCCTGAACTCTTAATCTAGGCAGTCTAATCGGATGAGACAAAATATAATTTTCACAGGGTCACGCTTTTATTGCCTGACAATTATTGTTTTGCAAATTGTTGACCATATGTAAAATTGCATAATATTCATAATGATGTCGGGCAAGTGCGGTTGGGTCACCGAAGATGTTCCTCTGTATGTTTTTCTCTGAATTTGCCAGGTGACTATTTTAAAGAGCTCTCTACACGTTGAAAACAAAATGAGCAATTCCATTAAGTCCTAAACATTATTACATAAAATTGCGACTATTTTTTTTATCGTCAAAGGCAAACCCGAAATTTTTTTTAAATAAATCAAATTCGTCTGTATTCTCTTTTAATCGCAGCGAAAATGTTTGTGACTTGTTATAAAGTAAAAATCTTATTCATTTTTCGTAACTACTTGAAAAATACTTAGAGATAGCTCACCAGAAAATATAATATTGAAAAGTAAACGAAGTCCATAGCGATCAAAATCACCGAATGTACGCCACTGAATGTATGACTGGTAGGTACAAAATGAACCCTTCTTTCGCGCGGGTGCGGTTTTTTACACAGTAAATCTGCTTTTAATGCGTAATCGTTTTATAAGCCTCCCACTGATTCACGGCACTTAAAAGGTTTTTTTCTACGTAACGTGAAAAAAAAATCCTGGGTGGCTTCATCAGCTTGCGTATGATAAAGTTGGCATGCTAACTGATTGTGAATCAACTATAGCTCTGACGCGTTAAATGAAGTTCACTTTCCTTGTCAAAAGAGTTCAACAAGGCTGCGAGTTCTATTAGAACGCACACAATTTTAGCCTCTCCAACAAAAAATATTTTCATAAAAATCAGAGGCGAGGTGCGCAATTACATCCTTTTGAGTATCATTTATAATTAACGTTACACACTACTCGCATGATGAAAAATAACGCCTAAAAGCATATTTGTTTTAGAATTTAAGGTCTCTATATGAACGTGGAAGGTCCATTATAAACAGGAGGCACAACCACTGGCCACTACGCATCCCCCCCCCCCCCCGTCTGGCAGAGACTTGCACCCTGTGAAGCCCCGCTTTGAGCGCCTTCTAAGTTAATCAAATAATATTAGAGCGAGTTTATCTACAAGGGTTTATACAAATATAATAGAACTCCTTCCAAAACTTGGGTGATTTTTGTGTGCAGTCCGAGAGAAAATCCGTGAAATTTTCCGCCAGAAAGACTTGAGAATTCCTTCGTCGAAACTTTCATTTTCATTAGAATGTTTTGCGCTGTAGAAATTATGTTACAATATCCCGTCTACAAAAAGACGGAATGTCATACCCAGTGGCGTGTCGTGCCTAGCAATGAGTCGACTGACCTCCCGTTTAAACTTATGGAAAAGAATCGATTATTAGGAGTAACTTTAATAGTCGATTCTAATAGCATAGCTTTAAAGTGGAAAAAGTCGATGATCGCAGTTCCATGTTTTCATCAGACGATTTTAACTTCACTTTTTTACAGTATAGCGCAAGTGTACATGAACACAACTGAATCCGGGGAGAAGGAGCTGGCGTTGTGGACTCCTACCAGTCCTCTGTCGAAAGCAGCGATTTTTCAGCAAGTTTTCCCGCGGCGCGTGGAAGCTTTGGGTCACGTCGATGAGAGGCTGCCACCGCCGTCGGTAGGTCTCTTGTAAAGTAACATAGAGTATATAGAGTCGTAATGTAAATGGTAGAGCTGACGCCACTTTTAAGGAATTCCCAGGTCCTGAATTCCGAGATTACTGTGCGCCGCCGGGTCACTTTTTCGATACATACTCGATTGTTTGCGATACATGGGGACCTGCGGTCCGATTATTGAAATTGATAGACAAAGCTATAGACAAAGACGACAAAAGGGATTTGGAGGGATCCTATTGGTGGAAGCAGGTGGTGACAATGGACGTAGGAGGTAGGTAATGGATTTACTAACGGCAACCCACTAAAGACTAGACAGTTAGTCCATCATTTACTTCCTTAGTCTATAAGAACCAACCATGTCAACCAATAAGATCGCTCCATACTCCCTATGTCTTCTTTGTCTATCGCTTTGTCCAACAACTTTAATAAAATCCCCGCTGGCCATGGAATTACTACGTATTCCACCCCGCCATTTTGGATCGAGTATGTATCGAAAAGTGACCCGCACACCGGGCTCGGAACTCGTCGAGCAGAACAATAAGGCGCCAGCTCTCCAAATTACATTAGGACTCTATGATGTCTGCCGTACAACGCGAAAACGCCATTTTAAATTTTTTGGATGCAATGTATTATAGCAGAAAATCTTGTGTACCTTGGGTCAATGTTTTTATAGAATGGGCCTGTTGTATACAAGAGATACAGCCGCGCGAATAGACTTTTTAGAGGTTAAATGACACGAAAATTAAGATGGTCACATTAAAAAAGTTTAAAATACACTCCTTACTGCGCAATTTGCGTTGTTAGGAACGCGCTTTTTCAAATTTCCCGCGTCTGGGGGCAGTTTTCTGATCACCGGAAACGAGTAAACGGCGGGCTCGGTGATTTCTGGAAGTTGCCGAGTCGTCGTTGTTGTTGTTATTTGTTCCTTCAGTTTGTTTACAAACCCAACGTGATCTCTTATAGTGGTCCATATACGCTTTATGCGGTAACCAAATCGATCAACTTTTAAATATCCAACGCAATCCTTCTACATTTCATTTCACGACATCACGAGCTCCGATTTTTAGGTTAGGTTGTCAGTTTTAGTTGACCGGAAATAGCCGCGAGTTGCCGTTATTTGTTTCCGTTAGAAAACTGCCCCCAGACGCGGGAAATTTGAAAAAGCGCGTTCCTAACAACGCAAATTGCGCAGTAAGGAGTGTATTTCAGACTTTTTTAATGTGACCATCGTAATTTTCGTGTCATTTAACCTCTAAAAAGTCTATTCGCACGGCTGTATCTCTTGCATGCAACAGGCCCATTCTTTCGGAGGTAGTATCAAGAACTTAACCTGGAAATTTGAGGTGCGTGGATAAAACAGTTCTTATTTTATAAACTGTTAAGTACCAAAAAACGAGGGAAAATGTTGATAGATTTACGGCATTCTTGCTTAGCACGGCAGATGTACTCTTTGTAAAGTAAGGAACATAGTTGAATCCTCCTGTCTGCGAACATGCCGTCAAAGGAAAAAGAGGAAACAACGAGAGTGTCTCGAAGGATACATAAATTTGGCATTAGGCAAGGACTAAATTAGTCATCTACAAAAATTCAGGACAACAAAAAAATGTGGTACAAAAATGTACTCATCGATGTCACCATGAGCAGTGCATTATGCCGGTTTTGACGTGGAGACATTTCAAAGTGGCAAAAACATGTGGGCCCTCGTAGTGTCGCGCTTTGAGTTTCGCAATAGTATAAAAAGCTCGGCCTCACGTCCAAGGAAAAACCACCACAAACTGTGAAATATGTCATGCTTGGAATCCACAATACTCGATTGAAATGTCATTTTACGCCTTCTCAACCGCCCGAAAAATTTAAAAAGCTGAGCGATTAGTATAAATACACTGACAGACTGCAATTACGAACTTCTCCGATCGGACCGAAACCAAGCAAGTCTCCTTGAAAATGACCCGCTAAGTCTGATTCACTGGTTGAAAAAGCGCATCTAGTCCGCTGATTCGCGCCATCGATAGGCCTGAGGATGCTCGGTCAGGGAACTTTTGCAAAACGGTCAGACCGTCTCTCGGCTCAGGAAGCTTTGGCGAGCCTAGGTGTAACATTCTACGCCTCGAACTTTGTAGGATTCGACGGCAATCTCAAATTCTTTTTCTCGTCCAAAATCGAGAAAAATCGACATGGGCACCATAGACTGAAATTTCGGGGTCAAAATCGAAAGTTCTCCAATCGGGCTGAAACTAAGCTACTCTCCTTGGACTTGACCAGCTGAGTCGGATTTTCTGGCCTAAAATGCTCTACGAATTCATTTAGAGCTCATAATTAGGAAATAAGAGAGCTAGTTGGTCCAAACGGTCTAAACGGCCATCAGGCGAAAGAAACGGTCAGAAAAACTCGTTTCTTAGCTCAGGTAGCTTTGGTGAGGCGCAATTGCTCCTACGGTCTACGCCTGAAATCATGTAGTAATAAACCATATAGGCTCGAATTTTTGCCCCCGTGCAAGATCATCAAGGAAGCCCGCGCGGCAGATAGACATTTTAAAAAATTATGAATAAACCCAGAATGCGTATCCTACAATCGTCAAAAATTTGAAAAAAATATGTGCACATTTCCATAAAAAACTGAGCAGTCACTGTAACAAACGGAAAGTTTTTAAAGTAAAGAGCGGTTTCGAAACCAATATGTTTTTTTTTCTTTCTGCTGGATGATATAAAATCATTGATATCAACGAATATTGCTCGTTTTTTACTTCAATTTGTAATAATTTTTAATATTTAATGGAAGCGCAACGTTTTCAATGTTCATCTGTGAATAAAAGTGTCAGATTCTCGCATTCTACTAAAATATTGGAGTTGATTCAATAAACTACTCATTTTACAGTACATAATCATTTACGAGGCCACAAAAGCTCCTGAGCTGATGGAAACAATAAAAGAAAACAGTGACATCGTGGAAAAATTCGGCTTTTTTGACAGCGCTGACCCTGCTACTGCCAAGCTCCTTTGCAAAACTCACGAGGATTTACTCCTCTTCGGCGAAGATCAAATTTTGTAAGTAAAAACATATCTATTGCAAAAGCCCGCTTATTCATACTCCTTGCGTTTTTACTTGTCTCCATACAATACAATCAGAGATCGGAATGCAGAATAAGCAGATGATACAACTGAAGACCAGCGGTTGGATAATAAAATGCTCTGGTTTTAGGTAATTTGTACCCTTGCCATTACCGATAAGGTTAGAGATTGTGATACACATTCAGTAGTTTGATTCAACACAATTTTTCTCAGAAAATAATGATTACAACAATTAGTCCACTGAACGACGGTTACCTGCCCGCACTTTGTGTGACAATGTCAAACAGCCAGCTGATTATTAGAATTGTTAGACAAAGCTATAGACTAAGGAGCCAAAGAGAAAATGAGGCGATCTCATTAGTGAAAGCGGGCGGTTGCAATGGATAAAGGAGGTAAGTAATAGATGAACACCTTGCAACTCACGGGGGGTCCTACCGTAAGTCCATTATTTCTATCGCAGTTTACAGAATTTAAACCAATCGGATTGCTCCATTTTCTCTTTGTCTCATTCGTCTATTCATTTTAATAATCAGTCCGCAGTTAGCGTTATCTGCCGATTTCCGAGAAATGTTGATTTTAAACGATCGATAAAATGAGCTTTACTCATCAGGAAGATAGGCAGTTTGCAATGCATGGAAAACATCCAACTTGTTCAATTTCTATACTACATCTCAATAAGAGGAGCAATTTCAATTAGTAGGCAGGCAACACACACAACATGCAACACTCTGATTCAATGGCAAAGTTTACCGTTAAATACACCTTATTGCAGTCTTTGCTACTTGGAATTAGCGGCTATTTTGCAAGTTGGCAACACTGTTTTTTCCCGTGTAGATTCATGAAAAATATCGATTTTAGATGAGACCAGCTCGAGTATCTTGATATGGAGAGTATCACCATGTGGCTATAAGTTCTGATTGGCTGCTCCATCTTGAGCTTCATGAAGCTCTGAGGACCCAAAAACGGTGGACGCTGTAGGTAAATGGAAATACAGGATGACTTAAAATGTAGTTTTATTTGCGTATCGCACCGGGTACTTTAATCAAATGCATTTTTTGGACGTATTTACATGGTTTTACAACTAATCGTGCGTGTTATTTTCGAGAGATATTATCTTAGATGTAGTTAAGTTGGCAGGAAGTGCGATTGGTGAGAACTGTCAAAAGTTGGTAATGACCCCTCTCCCATCTTGGGAGATCAGAACAAAGCGCCGCCATTTTTGAGTCCTAGGGCTTCCATGGAAGGTGGAGGGGCTTCATGTCGATATACTCTCTATCAAGGAACTCTAAAGCAAGCTGCAGACTGAGTGTCGAAATTGATAGACAAAGCGCTAGACGAAGAAGACAGGAAGGGATATGGAGGGATCATACTGATGGAAGTGGGTGGTTGCAATGGACAAAGGAGGCAGGTAATAGACTAACTAATGGCAACCCACCATAGACCCTACGTAGTTAGTCCATAATTTTCTCCCTCGGTCTACAGGTGCCCATTCCAACCAATAGGATCCATCCATATCACTTATGTCCTCTTTGTCAAGCGCTTTGATGTCTGCGTTGATTGTCGGTTAATTTCAACAATCAGCCTGCATGCCTCACCTACAGTACCTGTACAGCGAGAGTATGGAGAGAGGTGAAACTCCGAAAACCCATCAGGCCTTCACCGATGCTTCTGCGAATAAAGTTAGAGCCCAAAAATGCAGCCAACCTATGAATTTCAATCATCCAGAACGATTTACTATTATACCATTGTTACGAACCGTCGTTTATTAAGCACGTATTTGACCCAGCTTCTGCATTTTACTCATTTTTGCGGAAGAACGCTCATTTCTGCACATTCTTGGCCATCTTGGTTAGAATTGGAATTTGCAGACTGGCAGTGAAATTTTGTGTGTCAAAATTTGGTCAGAAGGATGGCTGCACTTTTGGGCCCCAAGAGCTCCATGAAGCGATATGTGCATAAGCTCTGTGTCTACTCATCACAATGGCGTCAAAATGGAAGCTCAAAGGGAATCCATAAATACGATCTGCTCGCGATTGTTGATCAAAAAAGGGTCGCGCCGCTCTATTTTGAGTTGCAACACTCATCAATCGCATCAAGTCCCGATTTTGGCCACTTATATCGTTGAAATCGACTCACTTTGAGCTTCTATTTTGACGTCATTTTGACGAGTGGAGACAGCACTATACTCTCGCTAAATAAGTGCTCTAGCCTCACCAAGAATCGATCGATTTGATAAAACATCGTTGCCAGCTTTCAAGAATCACGACGGCTTTGAATACCGTTTCAGGCTGAGCAAGCTGGTGATTGCGATGAAGGACACGAAGAAGGACGAGTCGATCCTGCTGTTCTCGCAGCTGTTCCCGATCTACATCTCGCCGGACCCGACGATCGGGCTCAAGGAGCGCGAGCAGTTCTTCCCGTTCGACTTCGACGACTGGGAGGGCAGCGTGGCCGAGTTGAAGCGACAGCGGAAGATCGCCGAAGAGCAACGGCTCCGGGCCATCCGGGAGGCAGAGGCAGCTGCCGCCGAAGCCGCCGCCGAAGAGGAGGCTCAGGGAGAGGGTGGTCAAGAGGGCGAAGGGTTGCAGGAGGCCGAGGGTGACGCCCCCGAGCAGAAGCCAGAAGCTTAGCGGAAGTAAAGGGGGTGGAAGTTATAGACGTGCAGCAAGTTATAGAAGGGCAGCCAGTGGCTGAGGGCGACACCCAGAAACCGCCCGAGCAGAAACCAGAAGCTTAACGGAAGTGAAGGGGATGGAAGTTATAGACGTGCAGCTGCAGCAATTTATAGAAGGGCAGCTAGTGGCTGAGAGCGACACCCAGAAACCGCCCGAGCAGAAACCAGTAAGCTTTAACGGAAGTGATAGGAGTGTAAGATCTATATGTGTTTTAAAAAGGGCAGCCAGTGGCCGGAGGTAACCCCTCGATCAAAAACTATTGAAGCTCAACGGAAGTGAAAGGGTTGAAAGTTAAGGATGTGTTATAAAAAGGCAGCCAGTGGCCGAGGGTGACACCCAGAAACTGCCCGAGCAGAGACCAGAGGCTTAACGGAAGTGAAAGGGATGAAAGTTAAAGATGTATTTTTAAAAGGGCAGCCAGTGGCTGAGTATGACGCCCAGAAACCCCCCGAGCAGGAACTAGAAGCTCGACGGAAGTGAAAGAAAAGAAAGTTATAGATGGGTTTTTAATGGGGTAGCAGCCGGTGGTCAAGGGTAACGCCCAGAAAGCTTCCGGGTAGAAACCAGAAGCTTAATGCTTCACTTTCATTCAATATTTTTAAAAGATTCGCGCTGATTCTCTGAAAAATTTACGACAATTTTATGAACGATTTTAATTGAAATCACGGGAAATTTCGTCGCGATATTATATTTAGTCCTATTTTCCTTTTTTTATTTTTACCAAAAAAAACCACGATCCCAGATTCTAAATCGTAGCTTTTAGGATAGTTATTCTTGTTTTTTTTACGGTGAAAATTAGAAGACAGTCATAAATAATGACGCTTCGTCTAAGTTTTGCAGCGATTTTAGCGTTCGTCCCGCCAGCGAGGCTCGGCAGGGCGCTCAAAACATCTTCGCAGTTTGACGCGCCTTCAAACCGACGGAGCTGCAACATGCTTACACCCGTGGTCAAATAGTTGTATGTCACGCCTGCCGTAAACGAACTCAAATATCGATGGTTCCACGCGAAAAGGAGCTTATTTACCTCGATTGCAACGTTGCAAGCCACGGTTAATGCTTCACTTACATTCTATATTCTTCAAAAGATACGCTCTGATTCTCCGAGAAATGTACAACAATTTTTTGCACGATTTTAATTGAAATCACGGGACATTTCGTCGCGATATTATTTTTAGTCCAAATTCTTTTTTGCTTTTTACCGAAAAAAAAAAACCATGATCCCAGATACTAAATCATAGCTATCAGGATAGTTATTCTTTTTTTTTTACGGTGAAAATTAGAAGACAGTCATTAATAATGACGCGTCGTCTAAGTGTCGCAGAGATTTTAGCGTTCGTCCCGCGAGCGACACTCGGCAGGGCGGTCAAGACATCTTCGTAGTTTGACGCGCCTTCAAACCGACGGAGCTGCAACATGCTTACACCCGAGGTCAAATAGTTGCATGTCACGCCTGCCTTAAACGCACTCCAATATCGATGGTTTCACTCGACTGGAAGCTTATTTATCTCGATTGCATCGTTGCAAACCACAGTTAACAGATGTGAAATAAGGGATGAATGTTACAGATATGTTCAAAAAAGGGCAGCAGTCCTCGCAACGTGGCCGGAAAATCCTTTTGGGGTCCGCTGACAAAAGAGCAGAGATGATCTAGAAGGATATCTGCTGAAAGGAACTAGACATAGGTGGGAAATATGGGATGTGCTCTAGAAAGCTGCATGAGAAACATTATAAAAGTGAACTTGATTCTTTTTGTGATGATGGAAAAGTCCGGATTTCACATAAAATCAACAGGAACTTAGTGCCAAAATATGCGATCCGAGGCATGTAACAAGTAAAAGCTTTGTGGACAGGGCTCATAAGGTAAAAGCACACGCCCGTCGACCTCGTCGTTGTAGTCGAGCGCGGTCGTAGCCGCTGACGTCATTGGCGCTTTATGATTCCCATTCATTCTTATGACCCTCAACTAACGAGCACATTCCTTCTTTTCCACTCGTCTCTGGTTGCTTTTAGCAGAAATGCTGCCAATTGGGACCATACATCGGAAAAATTACCTAGACTCCCATCTGACCGACCTCGGTCTTCCAGACCCAAGGCTTAGGTATCTAGGCAAGAATCTATACCTTCTTACCGACATGGGATGTTTCGAAAGGAACACCCATGCGCAGTAAATGAGGACGCATTACAAATCGTCGGTTCCTTCACGAAAGATTGTAACTCCATTCCAATGTTGCCAAATTTATCCTCGCAAATCGCCCATAAATCAAGAGAATCTTGGGCATTTCTAACTGAAAGTCTCGCTGATTTTACCCTACATTCCATGCAAAAATCAGAATAATTTTGGATAAAAATCGTTCACGTACATTTTTGTGAAATGAATCAATTGTTTGAGTCAATTTGGCAATCGTGGAATGGGGTTACGTTCTTTCGTGGTGAAGACGACGAAATGACGTGAGAGACGAAGAAGGAGAGAAAGGAACAAGAGAGTTCGGGGTTTTTTCAACTAGTCACAAAGACATTGGTTTATTGTAATTAATTTTTGGTGTTTAAAGAAGAATGATCGTTACTTTTTTTAGAATGCTTATTTGGACTACATTCTTTAATTTGGACCTATAGATTCTAGCCCGGTTTAAAAACAACGTAAGTGCCATTAGTTTCCCTATGCACATAAGTGTTTTTCCAGGAGAGCCAGAATTTATAGTTCCAAATTGCAAAATGCAGTCCATTTGGTCTGAACTTATAAATGTTGATTCCTTTGTAATAAATTATCGTTTACATAATTTTGTTATAACTTCTCAAGCGTTTATCATAATATTTTTTATGACATATAGTATCTCTAGTAGTTGGAGGTTTTGGTAATTGACTTGATTCTTTCATTATTGGTGCTCCTGACATAGCTAGCCCTCGTATAAATAGTTTATGTTCTTGGCTTCTTGTTCCTGTACTTCTTTAGAAGTGAGGAACGAGTAAAAACAGATGCGGAGGATGAGGAAAAATTGAAGAATAAGAAGAGGGGGAGAAGAGGGGGAAGAAGAAAAATAGAGATAACAAAGAGGGGGAAGAAGAAAAATAGAGATAACAAAGAGGGGAAGTAAATTGTTTCTTCTGCTTTTCTCTCCTTCTACCCTCTTTCTGCCTCTCTCCATTAATTTCTCATAAATTTATTTTTCTCCTTTCACTTCATCTTTTTCCTCCCCCTCTTTTCATTTCCATCTTTTCCCTCGTTCCTCCGTCCGTTACTCCTTCTGTCTCTTTTTAATTTTTATTTCTAGTGCGTCTCAACTTGACGTAACTACAATATTCTTCAGAATTAATTTGGGTTTGTAGCGGTTTCAATCATTCTAATATCGAAAGATATGCAACAAGTCGTGACACAATTCTGATTTTTTTGCCTTTAGAGTTGCAGATCAGAATAGTCAATAGCTTTCTTCTCGGAACTTTTTCTTTGAACAGTGGCCTTTGACTCGCCACATTACAGGGTTGGTCGAACAATTTCGGGCGTTTCTATCCGCGGCGGGTGTGTCAAGCAATTTGCCTTAAGCTCAATAATTGAATTTTGAGGACTCCAAAATCTTGTGAGTGAAAAGAATCTGGTTGGCGTGGTTCAATTCTACTGCTTTTTCAGATGAGACAATTTATACGTCGCTTAATAATTTATAGAGGCATTGATGTTTATTTTGTGGCAAACTGAGAAACTAAGCAGACGATATGCTTTTGAATACTTGCAAGACAACTCCAAGGAGCTGTTTTTGACTATAAATTAAATGGTCAAAATGGTGCTCTACGCTGTTAAAAATCAATGATTTACTCTGAGTGAATAGCCGGCGTGAAAAAAAAATCCAGCGCGAATTTCGTGCCTTACTCTGAGTGAATAGATCAGAGCGTAAATATCACCAACGACGGACGAACTAGTTGAGATATTTTTGAGGCGCGGGATTTTTAACAGTGTATCGAAGAAAAATTTGATTTAATAACAACGGCACGTTCACTGAATAAAAATTTATTTTTAAAATTTTTTATGTACGTAATAATATTACAGTAGGTAAATCAATAATAAATCAATCAATCGGTATTTACAAAACAGTACAAAGGATGATCGATACATTTCGGTTTCAAAACAAAACAATACACTCAAAATACGGGAATGAAAATTATGTTTAAAAAACCTATGAGCAAAACTCAGCTTAAATGTAGGCTAGTAAGTTTGAGTCAATGAAAATTCCTAACTTTCATCGTAGACTAGAACGCGGAACAGGTATATTAACTGATTTATACAAGGGGGTGTGACTCACACAAATTGCAACAGTGTGGCGTTTAATGATCTGCTATTGCACAGCAACCAGTCTAGAGGATATTTTTTCGTAAACAAACGAACAAAAAGTGCTCTTTCCAAACCCTTACGTTATTTCTGATTTGCTCCGATCACGTGAGCGTGCCATAAAGTTTTCATTTTGAAATACTTCAACCATTTGGTTTATCTGCAAATACTTTCAGATAAAAATAGTCAAATACAATATAATGAAGTGTCAATTGAATTTGGGCAAGTTAAGACAAGAAATACAAGACAAACAAAAAATTTTAGAATTAAAGATTGCTGTGTTGAGAAATTGGATGTTTTACCAGAAACGTCTATCTACTGCGGTAGATTTAAGAAGTAACCTACCTATCTGTTCTGGGGATGGATTAGATTCAGGAGCAGGTTCAAGCCGAATCAGACGCTCAATAATTACAGTCATTGTATACGCAGTGGTAATTTATATTACTGGTTAACCTCTGATTACATCATGTATAAAGAATCAATTTAGGATTCCAGAATCGACTCCATTACATACATTCAGATAGATGGAGGACCAAGCAGTAAGGGCAGTTGCAGAAAATTAATTACTTCTTGTATCGATGCTAATAATTATCAAGTCAAAAATCCCAGCTTTCTAAAATACATTTTGAGTTCAAATGCATTTTTCTTTGCTTTACGGATCAATCTTTACGGCAAAATTTTACAATGTTACAAATTGATGAAAAACCAGCGGCACAAAAACATGTCGGAGATCACGCTTCGTCTCAAAGAAAACGTATGCTGAATATATTAATCTAACGAGTTGCACGATCGAAAACTCTAAAGCATGAGAGTAAAATAGTTTCTTTCCTACATGTAAGTTTCTATACAAAAATACAATTGGTAAAAAAATCAGAGGAAATAACTATAAAAAATTAAACATGTGTCATTTAGCATAGGGAGTCTCCGAAGAGTGAGATATTTTATCTTTTAGGTTAATGACATGAGTATTATAAAACTTTTGATACTTTATGTACACTTTTTTAAGATGGATTTTTTCGGGATAGTGAATTTGTGTTATTTTAAATTGCATGCAAGCTTCTTACTCGGCCAAAGACCATAAATAATGGAAATGTGTGGAGCGATTGAAAGCTTCCTTCATTTGGGACGATTGTAAGCATGAGATTGTTTATTTACACTACAGGCGTGTTCAAAAATGACAAATAGATTCAATATCTTTGTGCGACGTGGCTTCATTACTTTGTTCATCA